AGGCAAACAGAAATGCCTTGGGTTTGGAAACGTCGGGGTTCCTCCATTCCTACGAATGATATTTTTTTAACGCAACCCAAGGCATGACCTTGCACACTAATGTCCGAATTAACATCCCGTTTTCAGGATTCAACGAACAAAATACCAGAAGGCGCCAAATCGCGCACATAAGCGCCCCCGCTGATCAAGGCGAGCTCGAAGCGATTTACGAGGACCTTAATACCGAGCAAAAGAATAGTCAATGGAGAAGGATCCTGCTGCTCGTTGTTGCTATTACCGTATGTATCCTTTTATCCAGCACGATTCAGTTAGAAATGAAGTTTTTTTTCTCATATATCTTTATCGTTTGTATAGGTTCACAATATACCCGAAGGACTGGCGGTTGGAGTTGGTTTCGCTGCGGTGGGAAGCAGTGCTTCAGCAACTTTCGAAAACGCGAGGTAAGTATAATAAGATACTACTTGAATATCGTCGCGTCGGTAGAATATACGAAAAGGAATACGAATGTTGGGCGACAAAGGATATTTAGAAGTTGTGTAACAATGAAACTAGGGTAATTATGATTTTCCAGCATGCCATTTGTATTTTTCCTTTTCATTTGAAAGATCATTTCAATGGAGTAACATTAGCGGTATTGATCGCACTGCGACTGCGCGCCATCGGCATTTCGATCAAACTTTAATGCGTACGAACTGAAATTGCTTACCTAGGTCAATCGTATGTACTTAATTTATTGCGAGAATCAGGATAGGTTAACTACAGTGCTAGTGGGGTAATGGGTTTCAGTTATCATTAAGCGGTTAAAATGATCGCTCGGATAACAACGAGAACAGGGACCGACGTTCGTGCATTCCTCCCGCATTCGTTAATCCCTAAAATTAGCTCGATCTCGGATTTGAAAATCCGACGCTGGTTCAGCAACTTTCGCAGCCCCTAATAAAAAAAGACACACACAAAGGTCAGTGGGAAAAAAATGTCGGGTGGTTCTGCATTTTTTTCCCCGGTAGAAAAACGAACAAAAACATGATCCTCAGTAGATACAGTGTCACAACTGTGACGCTGGATTATTCGTTTACACGTTTGTTCGTCTAATTAGCAATTCCGGTCGTCATACACGGATGCTTAGATATGTCTACAGCGGAGGTTTAAACGTTTAATTATTCGTTTAAACGCTGAAGTTGCGCAATAAATTATACTTGAATATCAGGTTTAAAACAGCTACGATTATTGCGAATTCTGCAACCATTAATAATCAATAACTTACAAATATTATTCAAGTAATCGCAACGAATTATAATCCGCAATTATACAAAGTAATCTACAACTGAATTACCACATTTTAATCGCCATTATCATTTCACCCCTACGAGAACTAACCCACTCCCAAAATCTTCCCTATAAACAATATCTTCAATTAAAAGCGACTCTCCAGTAATCAGATTTCAATACGTAACCAACAATAAACGATTCGTTACAAATATTCCACCTCAAATAAACAACATATTCCCAATATTTTACAATCGGTGAGTTCGTGAAACCTCCCTTAGCCATCCCAGGGTAAGTCAGATATATTTACCAACCGGAGTCTCAATCACGTGTCTATTGAAACTGTACGATCCTCTGCGAGATGGCAGCAGCTGGTGATCATGTGGTCTCCCAGCAGCGGTGCTCGACGCGTGATAGGAGGTCCCCATGAATGAGTTCTATGGTGGTCGGTCGCGAGTGCCAGCCGCAGGCGAAGTTTATTGGCAGCGGTGGGTGCCCGTGGCGAGGGGGAAGGGCACGTGTGGCCCTGGAATTCAACGAGCCCTAGGCGCCGCGCATTCCATTCCAGCTTCCCACTTTCCCCGCTCCGTCTTGTCCTCCTGGACTTCTCCCAAACTCGCTCTCCTTACCGCCTTACGCCTTACGCTTTTAACTCCGAAACACGAACGCGACGTCCGCCGATGACGTGCAGCGGCGTTAATCGATCGTGTGACGTTATTTTCATTTCTTCGAACAGTCGATCGCGCCACAGCGAAACCTTATTATTTATAGCAGAAAAATGCCAACGATAATCGTCCCCGTATCGTCGGGCTATCCCCTCGGTCGTCTCCCCGTTGACTCGTTCTTTCTAAAGATACCCATTCCCGTGGTTCTCGATTCACCGACGTGGCCCAATTCATATTCCTGCCAGCCGTGCCCGATTAAAGAATTCGATTCATCGTCGCGTATTTAATATCGCCTACGGATCGGCTGTAATCCGCTCCGCGGAGGGGAGAGTCACGATCATTATCATAAGTAAGAACGCTCGCGTGTATCGTAAATACTTACTTCGAAATCCGTCGACCGGGAATCGTTTGTCGCGGAGACGCCAGCGGATTCATCGGGAGCCATTGAAAAAATGTACGTCTAATCTTCTATACGCATCTTTCCACGCGTATCATTGACGCGAATAACGTACGGCGCGCTGTCGCCGATTAGACGAACGATTCGACCGCGGTAGATTTCCCTTTGGCCGGTAAGGACTGAATTCCAAAGCATTCAAACGATGGTGTCGGACGTCACAGTTTAAGATTGTCAGTGTCGGCCGTCCCATTAACAATCCGTGGAATGAATGGATCGTGTCGGCGTTTTCTTTTCTACCGCGTGATAATTAAGAAATAGAGGTTGGATTTCTCCGTCGAGCGGTTTCCTGACGCGCTTTCGTGTATATCCGATGGGACGCGGAACCTGTTACTCTCGCAACGGTGACGGTTCGCTGGAAAAAGAAACGCGAATCCGCTTTTGCGCCGCCCCGGGCGCCCCGTTTGAAAAACAACGCTTGTCCGTGGATATTTCATTTATTCTCGTATTCGATACCATAATGAACCGGCGCGAAGCCATTATCGCCACAAGTTTCCCGGTTATGAATGAATCGTCGGTCCGAAAGATGACCCCGGCCGATACCGGAGTCGTGCGTCCGTGTATCGCCACGCAGAGGTTCGTGGCTGTGCGTACATCGTTATCGGTGCGCGTGTTCTTTCTTTTGGCCGGCCGAAAGAACGCTCGTGGTGAAAATATTTCATTCAACGAGGGCTTCCCCTGTCTACTTCGCGCGCGGAAAACTGAAAAGTCGGACCCGAATTTCGCGCGACAATTAGTCCAATCGGTTAGCGCACCCATTTAGCCGATCGCCGAGTAATTGCGGGACCCTCGGAAGGGTCTGAAACGATTCCAGTGAATTTCAACAATCAATACCGCGGTAGTTTCGCCGGGAATTCCATAGCGAACGCCTAATTGGGCGCACTGTTTCTCCCGATACTCGTCGCCCGTTTCCGAATCGCGAACCAGTAGGGAGATATTACCGTAAAGATCGATCTTTCCACCCGAGTAATGCGACCAGTTTCGAGGAACGAGCCGGCAACGCACGTCTCTCGTCGTTCAGAAAATCACTCAGCCTTCAGCATTTATCGACCCAGCATGCCCTTTTGTAGCCCAACTCGTTCGTAACGAGCGACATTCCATTCTCACGACGATTGCGATTAAGATCGCGTACCTCCGCCTCGAGCACGTTTTCAGAACTAACGAAACGACGTGTATCGGCCGCAGTTTCTTCCCCGCGTTTCGAAAAAGGGTCGGGTACGGGTAACGGGAGGGAAGGGAAAAAAAAGAGGAGAAGAGTTACCGTATTTTCGTGCCGAATCACGGGGAGAAGCCGGTCGCGACGCGATTCCTGTAAACGCCGCTGGGAACAGAGAAACCTCGAGGAAAGGAGATCGTTGGCCACCGTGTCCCGGTCAAGGAAAACGTCGTCGGGGTTCCGTCATGGAAATAAATTTTTACGTAACGCTCGGGCCTCGCTGCTCTCTGCTCGCCGATCGCTTTGCCTCGGCGCGTACGGCGTGCCCTTTCCGTGGAAAGGTAATTCATTCTCGAGACGGAGGTGGAACAATCCACGAGTTCCGGTCGGGGCGGCGAAAGAATCATGAATGAAACGTTTCGTAGCCGGGTAACACAGCCGTCCCTGCCCGTGTTAGCCGCGAGAGCGTGCCTGATAAAGGAGGGGCAAGAAATAGAGTAAGAAAAAGAGAAAAAGACGCACTCTCGTAGGTAGGAACGGCGGAAAGGTGGGCAGCCGATAGGAACGACGATATTTGCACTCGTAAAACGCTCAAGGAGATCTGGTACTGAGTCACCCTTCGAGCTATGCGGATTTTTCGCGGAATCTGGGTCCGTCGTTTCCTTTTCCCTTTTTTCGTTTCCTCTTTTTTTTCCCTCTTTCCGCTCGTTTTTCCTCGCATCCGAGATTCGACACGGGGACAGCCGTTCCCCGTCGATGAACGCGGGCGTCGTTCTCCGTCGTGTCGCAAAAATTCTCTCTCAAAGGTCTACGATCTGCCGTTCGTTGTCATCTTTCGCAGTTGTCCCCGCGTGTCGTAATCGCGCGAATCGATCCCCGCGATGTTTCCGATTCAAGGAATCGTTCGTACGTCGAATCGCGTGAATGTTGTGTAAGTATACAATCTTGAAATCGATATACAATAAATCGACGTGTATCAGATTAAATCGTTCATCCTGTTACAAATGTTGACGACGATGAAGTTAGATAATCTCGTCTAGTCTCGCGTTAATTGAAATTCGTTCGACGATTACCGTGATCGCGATGGGTGCGGGGATTCGATTCGCTTAGGCGAGTCCGTTCTTATTTTTCTAACGCCGTCGGTTAGCGAACGTAGGGAACGAGGAAGGAGGCCGAGGATAGAAGAGAAACAGAGGCGAAAGAGAAGCTGAAAGAGGAGAACGAGGGTGAGAGCGATAGCGTGCGTAAAAACAGAGGAACTACGGAGTGCCGGGTTGGCGTGGCACGTAGATGAGGTGGTGCTATGTTAAACATGGCGCCGGACAAAGCTGCCGACGAAACCACCTCATTTCAGTGCTATCCTCCTGCCTGTCTTATTATATACCGACCCAGCAGTGCTCACCGCACCGCGGCCCCTCTCTGTCCCCTTGTCTCTACTCTTCTCCTTTTACCTCCCCGCTGGCCCCCGTTCCCCGCCTTTTACCCTTTCTCCCGACGCTCTATCTCTACCGTCCTTTTTCGACTTCGGCTCCGGACGTCTCTCTGCCTTTGGACTGGCTTCCTTCTCTTTTCGTTCACCTTTGGAAACGTTCTAGCGCCGTCCGCCGACGTCTAAGCGTCGGGAACGAGCCGCGCGATAGTTCGTAACTCGTTTAACCGCCGCGCAACGACACCCGACACCGGTAAATACGTTTTTTCGATATTTCCTTCTCGTTTCCTTTTTGCCCCCGTTCTTTTTTTTTCTCGCAGAACGATCCAAGTCGGAACCCGAACGCGACCTATCTCAGCCGTGGTCCCAAAGAGGCAACACGCGGCCGGTCGATCGTCCACGGCTGGTTAACCACGCGTCGAGTAACGCTCGAACTACCGGCTCGTTCTCAGCCGCGAGACGATCGCCGG